CAGCACACCCAACATCAACATAGAGAAGACATTAAAAGCTGCCTAGGTTGCATGTACTTCAATAGTAAGATTTCACTCACTGGCCAAACAGCTGTACAATAGAGCGAGGTGGCCTGCCAGTGCCATTTAATGATATGGTATGACAATGTCCCATAAATATGGATCAAATACCTATTTCAAAAAATTGCAACCCCAGCAGTGGGTCAGGACACATATTTTAAGGTCTTCACAACCTTAAATGTTACTCCTTTCTGATCACCAAATGTAGTACAGGCAAGTCAATTTGAATTCAGTGTGACCCAAGAACTTGACATGAAACTACGGCTCCATGGTGTTTCTCGAACGGCACACTTTTCCTGGGAGCCGTGTGTTATGGAGCGAAAAGACAAAGAAAGCAGTTGGTTAGAGTAATAAAATAGAAAAAGAAAACACCTTATTTAATGCAGACAACCAAATACATTTTAATAAAAACAGGAAGTGAAGGAAAGGAGTGTGATTAAGACTTAATGAGAAAATAATATGCAGATAGGCTGAAGTCAATAAATATGTACCAGGAACTATATGTGACCTCCTGCCTGGGGGACAGACAACCAAAAAGTGGGTGAAGGGAGACGTCGGACAGAGCAAGATATGACAAAACACCAATTTAGGAAGTATCAAGGGCTCATGAGGGAGGGGGGAGTGGAGAGGGAGGGGAAAAATGAGGACCTAATGTCGGGGGTTTGAGTGGAGAGAAAATGTTTTGAGAATGATGTACAAATTCGCTTTACACAATTGATGTGTGTATGGATTTGCGATAACAGTTGTATGAGCCCCTAATAAAATGTTTTTAAAATAAATAAATAAAAATAAATATGTACCATAGTCCTAAGCATACTCCTCCACCAAGAGGTCACTATTTCCAAAAGAGGTACAAAGATTTTTGTTGTACCTCACAAGAGTCCTCAAAATGTGTATTTAAGGACATTTAGCCAGGAATAACCCTGCACCTGTAAAGAATAAAACCTGCTCTGATCTTCAGGTTAACTCCCTGCCAACGTATCTAGTCCAACGCAGAGTAAACCTATCAGGCAGAGGTCAACTGCCCTACAGGTTCCCAAGACCGTTTATCTTGACAGGAGAAGGCAGACTCATCGTTCTCCTGCACATTTTGGGGTGTTTGAATGGCACACTTTGTGGCAGGAGCTGAAGTTTAACCCACTGCAAGGCCAGGGCTCCTCAGTTCACATTTACTAAACTCATATAGGGAGCTTTTATATATTCGCCAATAAAGTACCATTATGGGAACACAGAAAAGGCGAACAAAACAAGAACTCTAGAAAAGTCTAACCAATTTCTGAAAGAACTTGAGTCAAGGCACAGAACACTGTGGGGCACTAAAAGCAGCACTCACCCGGCAAGATGTGGGTCTCTAAGTGGACTCCATGAATAGTGTGCAAAATGGAGTGCTCCCCAATCACAGACAGAGAAGAAGGTTGAAGGCAAGGTACGAGTGCCTGAAAGAAAGATATGCGACTAACGTCCAACGGCAGCCAGTGAAAACCCCATGGACTGTGTGGTTTTACTCTAAAGGACTATGTAGACACAGGGTGAGTTTGGTGTTTGACTCAGGGTCCCCACAGAGAAGCAAGGGATAGGATGAATGTCCAATACACAGAAAACTCCAAACAGGCAAAAGTCCACTTCAAAGGATTTAGGGATCAAGATGTGCCACAGATCGACAATAGAAAGCATTAAACAATGCTGCAACCCCTGAGAGACATTTCCACACATTTACAAACTCATGTGAAAAGCCCCTCAATCCCTAGGACGGGTCTCATTGCAGAGGGCTGCTAACTGTACTCTCAGCATTGGTAGCCTGTTCTGGGGGCTTCTATCAGCTGGAATCAACTGGATGACACTGAGTCAGAAGCTTTGTGTGAGCAAACTTTGTCACTCCAAATAGTACACAGAAAACAAGTGTTCACTTGAGAAATTATGGGCAAAACGACAAACAACAGTCAAGGAGAGGCAGTATTAAGGAGTTTTGAGGGTTACAAGCACGGCTGCTAATTGCAAGGTCAGTAGTTTGACACCACCAGCCACTCTGGGGGAGAAAGCTGAGGCTTTCAACGCCCACAAAGAGTTACAGTCTCAGAAACCCACAGGGTAGTGTTAGGTGGTGCAATAGGACTGCTGAGCTGGAATTCAGTCAATGGCAGTGAGGTTTTATGTCCTCTACAAAAAGTCCAGCCAAATTTATTCTTTAAATAGTGTCTTTTTCTAAGCTACTTTTTGTGTAGCATAGAATAAAAGGGAAAATAACAGGATTACTTTTGAATTGTCACTCTTACATGCACTCCAATAGGTGTTTTTTCAGGATCAGAAATTGATGTACAACAGGAACTATGAACCCAAGAAGTTCAAGGCTTCATCTCGATG